CGACTACACATCACTTCCTCATTCCCTTCATGCTCTGACGTGGTGTAGCTGCCTGCCAGACATCTGCTAGATGACAATTGTATAGAAAGCCCTAAAGGACAGGGACATCACAGCATTTGTTGAGGTGGTCATTCTCTGTGACACTTGAAAATCTCTGGGACTTGTGGACTACATAGCAGATCCTCTTCTTCTTGACTTCAAGGGAGTTTATACACTAAAAAAAAAAAAAAAATCCAACTGCAAATCTGCCTAAAGTATTTGTCTTTCCTGGAGGAAAGGGGATGAATCATAGCACAGAGCCTCTGCCTTAAACGGTCTCATTGTGTACTAGAATTCTGCAAAGCAACACTGAGTAATGTGGGCTACCATGAGACTGACTCCCAATGCTGTGTGGCTCACACCACGTGAGCTGTACTCAGGTGAGGGAGATCTGTATACCAGGGCATATGTTTGCCAAGGTGAGGCCAAGTGCCTTTTTCGAGTACCGGGTGCTCTGCGAACCGAGCTCTGTAAGGGGATTGTGTGAAGCTGAAGGAGGTCAGAGTTCCTCTCCCTACCCTGCGTGTTCAGACATTCAGACTGAAAGAAGCCCCAATGCTTCTTAGGTAGATGCTGCCTGGAAAGGTGATGCCAGCTCCTGTGGAAGGAGTGGGTCTCGGAGAGTGCTCCGAGTGCTGGGGCAGATCTAGGTTGTGGCTGTGAGCATGTGTTCTGGGAGGTGGTCCTTTACTGAGTCAGGATAGCTTCTTTGAGTGTCTGATTTTCTTGTTTTCCCACGGAAGTGGCGCTTTACGTTCTGCAGCTACGGTGGCCAGTCTTCTGTTCATCGGTGATATGGTGACTGGCACTTCCTGAAACAATCCCTTCTACTCAGACTTGTCTTCCTCTTGCAGCCCTCCTGGAGCTCTCATCTACTCCTGTGTAATCTTGCCAGGGCAGCGTGTGTGCCCATTCACCACTCCATCTTTGTGTCAGCATATGCCCAGAGCACTGAGTTTACCTGTGAAAAACTGTGGGAGGCTGTGTGGGAGCGCCTGGCCTCTGACAAACAAGGATTGTCATGCTGCTGTTCCCGCAGCATGGGTGTGCTAGCCTCGGTGCCTCTGGAAACTGCCAAGATTTGATTTCTCCAAACGCTTGGGATTTGGCGCAAACTAGGGCCAGAACCTTTTGGCTCATATGTTAAGTTGGCTCCTATAAGAAGGAAGTGCTGGAAGAGATTAGCTCTAGAAAATAATTCACTAGGAGAAGCTTCTTTGAGAGAAAATGGGGAGGGGTATGAGGACTCCGGGATAGATGTCTGTCTTTGATGTTGAACCAACATTTTTGGAGAAAGGAAAAGAAAAGAGCTTGTCAGGGGACCCTTAGCCTACACTGCAGCTCTAGGAAAGGTCTGTCAAAATTATGGGGTGATTATACCTATCTATGGCTGCCCTTCAGAGGAGTACCTGGCTCCTTGCCTTTACAGACTTGCTAGGCTCAGGCATGGGCTGTGCGCAGGGTATAGGATGCCTCAGCATAAGCGTGGTGATAGATGCTGGGGCACAGATGCTAAGTCCATGCCCACTGCCCTCCTCTCAAGAGAGCCGCATTTTCATGGCTAATCCATCTGCTTATTTCTGGCTGCAAATGCCTCCACTTACTTCAGGGTGTTTCTTCTTGACATCCGAGACCCAAGCTGGTGCAGGACCAGGCAGGATCATTTAGTTTTTGAGCCCGTATATGAATTTAACCACACCAATGAGTAGGTGTTTGCTGTTGAGGCAAGGACTTGCTTTCTATACTTGGGAAATGACTACAGGCAGAAACACTTTTTGTTCATTTCTTGCTACCTCACTGAGAGCATTTTCCAAAATTTAGTAGCTTACCTACCGGGAGTTTGAAATGACATTAATTCAGGTTCTTCCATTGAGACCCCTGCAATTCTGCGAATTCTGTTTTGTGTTTCCTTTAGTTTTGTGCCATGGCACCAGCTGGCTCACTTTTAGGGGATGAGTTGACAGTGTTGTTCTTCCACAGGCACCTACAAAGCATGAGGTGTGGGTGATGTATCCTCTGCCCCTCTCTAGGTTATCATAAGCGTTCAGTACTATGCCTGGAAGGTTCCCACTGTTCTGTGGCAGATTGTGTATTCAGTGACGGTCAGTGAGCTGGTGAGACTTCATTGCTGTGCTGAAATAGCCAAGACTATAGCAAAGACAGGGTTGATTTGAGCCCATGGTTTCTGAGACTTCAGTCTAGCTGCTTGGTCCCATCCCTGTGGCCTGTGGTGATAAAGAACATCCTGGAAGTAGGGCCATAGTGCCTAGAGCTCTTACTTTATGGCAGAAACAGAGAGAGACAGGAAGGAGCTGGGACAAGGTATAGTCTTTGGGATTCCCCCAGTGGCCTCAATGATTGAACACAGCAGCTAAGGACAAACTTTCAACATATGCACCTTTAGGGAGACCCTTTATGTCTAAACCATAATGTTTAAGTGTCTTCTCTTGTTTGTGAAGATTGTGTGCAGTGTTTTCATTATGAAAGAGCAGGTTATACTGAAGGAATGGTAAGTGAGATTTTAAAAATTCATCGAAGAAGTTTGTCAGTTTGCTTTTTTTCTTACCCTTCTACCAGTTCTCCACATTGTTGCCCAAGTGGTAATTCTTTTTTTTTTTTTTTTTTTTTTTTTTTTTTTTGAGACAGGGTTTCTCTGTGTAGCTTTGCGCCTTTCCTGGAGCTCACTTGGTAGCCCAGGCTGGCCTCGAACTCACAGAGATCCGCCTGGCTCTGCCTCCCAAGTGCTGGGATTAAAGGCGTGCACCACCATCGCCCGGCGCCCAAGTGGTAATTCTTATACAAAAATCGAATTATATTTTACCATCTTACCTAAAATCTTTCATTAGTTCTCATTACCACTGAACGGAAATATAAGAAATGCCTTTTGATCTCCTCTCTCTTTCTCTCTCTTCCCTCCCTCCCTCTCTCCTTCTCCTCTCCTCTGCCTCATATATTCTTTCTAAACCACTACTGGCTTCCTAAAAGCATAAGCTCTTCAAAGTCCCTTTACACTGGGACTGGGACATTGTCCTAATGAGGTGATTACTAGTGATTGTGAACACAGAAACACCAAGGTATTAGCAATTTATACAACAGAAATTATGTTTTCCGCAGCCCAATGCAGGTGCTCCTCACTGGCAGATGTCCCCCCAACACACACACACACACACACACACACACACACACACACACACACACACACACACACACTCCTGGATTCTCAGGGACCCAGGATCCTTCTGACCAGTAACATTGTCTGTCTTTAGAGGCTTGGATTTCTCCCCATTCAGCCAATAAAGGAGGGAAAGAAGAGAGAGAATTCACTGGATGTTCTCTGCCCCAGCCCAGAAACATACCACTTTTGCTTACATGCTATTGATGAGATCTGGCCAGAGACAAAGCAGCCAGGAAACGGGCCCTGGCTGAGCAAGTACCTCCCACCGGCAGTTGTACTGAGAGAGCTTAGATCCGGATACACTTTCTGCTGACTGTGATTCCCACGGCTACCCAGATGTGCAGCCCAGATCCTGCTCATTGTCTGATCAGCTCCTCGAGATAAGACTCCTGTGAGCCTTCAGCTTCTCCTCGGGCTTTGCATTGTTCAGTGCTTCTTTCTACAACAGCATGCTTCCCAGCTCAGCTGCCCTGGCACACGTCACGCTGTGTTAGAATTTTATGCTTATGAGTCTTCTTATGAGTCTTCAACTTACACAAACTCAAGACCTTCCAGGCCCCAAACTATATTTTTATTTTAGACCTATAGATTATGTTGAACAAAATATCTAATGCAAAATATCTCACTGGAAATATGGAATTTTTTTTTCAGTAAGATGGTGGACTCCTGCAGTATCAACACTTAGGAGACAGAGGAGGAGGATCAGGAATTCAAATCCACCCTTGGTACATAGTGAGACTGAGGCTAGCCTAGACTACATGTGACCCTGTATAAAAATTTAAAAAATGAAACAACGAAGATGAAAAAACATGTTACTAGATTATAGAATTCACAAGCAAGGGGCAAAACCCCCAAAAATCAAGATTCAAAGAATAAAGTTGGATTATTCTCTCAAAACACATACACCAATCCAAATTTTAAATCAAGGACTATTTTGGGTCTCTAAAGCTCTTGTCTCCATTTTTTGCTGATATATTTATATTTAAGAAGTTTATAGCAATCTTACTGCCATGAATGTCCTAATAGATTTTAGAAGCTTAGACGTCAAGAATTGGCCCCTTGTATAAAGAATGCTGTGTCATGAGGATACACGTGACTATGGGCAAGCAAATCTTTAACTAGAAATTGTTTGAAAGGTTAAGAAAAGGTACCTTGTTGACTGGCAGGAAGTACAGAATTTGGTAGCTGGAGAAGAAGCTGCTTGATGTCATTCAGGAAGAAGCTCAGAGATATCACTCAGGAGCCAAAGTCCATCCAAAGTACCTTGGACCTGTGTCCTTGGACCAAATCCTCTTTGGGTTGGTCTCAGATACCTGTCAGTAAAAACGGAGAATTTTGTCATCCCTCCACGAAGAGAACAGGCCACCCCTCCCGCTGGGCTTGAGATATAAATGAATCATGTCAGTGAGAAGGGACAGTTCTCCACAAGACAGACCCTCCCCTAGGGATCCATCTCCTCAATAACAGGTTATTCGATGTTGATCACAGAGTAAAGTTTCTTTTGAATACTTTGAATGGAGAGGAGAGGTGGGTACTTGCTCTCCAAATTTGGGAAGGAAAAAACCATGGGAATATATTCTGAGTATTCAGATAATAGTGTCCATGACTTATTCCAATAACACATCCCGATGAATTAGTATCTGCGAGTGAACAGTTTTCAGACCAAGCAATGGCCTCGTGTTTCTTCATGTCAGTTCTATGGGTTCCAAATCAAACGTTTGGGTCATTCAATTATGGGAGATTTAGGTTTCCTTCTTCCAGAACAATTATTTGTTGTTCATTTTAGGTCTCATAATGGGATTAATTTTACGATATGCCACAGCCCCAACCGATATTGAGAGTGGAACCGTCTATGAATGTGGGAAATTGTCGTTCAGCCCATCAACTCTGCTGATCAACATCACTGACCAGGTTTATGAATATAAGTACAAGAGAGAAATCAGCCAGCACAATATCAGTCCCCACCAAGGCAACGCCATACTGGAGAAGGTAAGGACCCTGTCTGCACATGTAGCTTCATTTTCCATAATTGATGGCACCATATATAAGCTTCTCTATATAAGATGTATACCTACTCATTTGTCCTTTTCAACACTGTAACACCGGGGCATTTAGTTGACTATATAAACACAGTTGTCAGTATTTTTCATAAAGTTTGGGGAAAGATGTTAATATAATTCTCCAGCAAGCCAGAGCTGTATTTAATTCCCTTTAAAGATAAAATCTTTCAGCCATTTTTCCTCTCTTAAGATGAATCCCACTGTTTATGAGTGTGATTTTAGTGGTATACATGTTACCAGCTGGCAATTTGGTTCAAACCTCCCCAGGCCAAAGAGGAAATAGAGAGGAATGAAAATGTTTCCATTTGTGAACTTTGATCTTTGGATGGCCTTTGGTGCCAATATAAGGCACTGGTTGCTGGTTAGCTGCTTATAAATACACTAACCTAGAGTCTACCCAAGAAATCTTCACCATGGTTGTTTAAAGAATTTTTGGTTAAAAATTGCAAAATGATTCATATTTTTAAAAACTAATTTCAAGCTTGAGATACAGTTCAGTGATAGGACACTTGTCTGGCATGTGTGAAGTTCTGGGCTTGAGTTCCAGCAAGAGAGAGAGAGAGAGAGAGAGAGAGAGAGAGAGAGAGAGAGAGAGAGAGAGAGAGAGAGATTGTTTTACACATTTATGATAGCTTAGCTGCTTTGGCCACTAGCAAGGAACCATGCTCCTACTGCAAACACTTAGGATGAGGAGTTAGCTTCAACTATCCTCTGTGGTACTTTGTGTGTTGAACACCACCCATGAGATGGTGAGTTCTTGTTATCGATGTGCATGTGTGGTAGGAGCCAGAAGCTTGCAGAAATTATTTCAGAGTCTTTGGGTCAGAGATGAGCACTCGCTGATTGGATGGTAATACATTTTTATCACCTTCATTGCATACAGACTTAATATTCTTATTATAACATATTTCCATGTGGTTGTAAAGCATGCCTTTAATCCCAGCACTCAGGAAGCAGGGGCAGGTAGATCTTTGAGTTTGAGAACAGCCTGGTCTACAAAGTGAGTTTCAGGACAGCCAGGGCTACACAGAGAAATTCTGTTTCAAAAACAAACAAAAAGCCAAGAACAACAAAAACATACATTTTGGGCAAAAAAAAAGGGGGGAGGGGAGCTGGAAAGATGGCTCAGTGGTTAAGGGTGCTTGGTGCTCTTCGAGAGGACACAAGTTAGATTCCCAATTAGATGGCTCACAACTGCTTGTAACTCAAGCTTCAGAAACCCAGACACTCTTCTGGTTCTGTCACACACACACACACACACACACACACACACACACACACACACACACACACACACTCACACACACACTTTCCTGCTTTTGAGAGGTTTAGAGAAGTAGGGGAGGGATTTGGTTTTCTATTTTTTTCCTTTTTCGAGATGACTGATTTACAGTCTTTTTGTCTTTTTCTTCATTATCTTCCACTAGTATATTTCTATATTAAGTATATGGTAAGACTTGCTAGGACAAAGGAAATTCAAATTATAATATTAAGCCAAATCACACTTAACGAGGCAGGTAGATTTGAGCACACAGCAAGGAAGCTAAATAATATACTTCTGTAATAAATGGAGCAACTTCCAGGTTATGTTTTGAATGATCTCAGTCATTTGATTCTCTTTATCCAAAAGGATAATAGAAAATTATTTATCAAAAGTAATTTTATAGAAAATTTTTATCAAAAGTAATTTTTATACAACTTGTTAACACAGGATATTAATTTTAAAAGATTCAGTTTTATTTGTTTATTTATTGTGAGCCAAGGTCTCTGTGTGTACCCTAATATTTCCTAGAACTCACTATGTAGCCCAAGTTATCCTTGAAATCACCTTAGCCTCCCAAGTGCTAGGCTCACAGGCATGTACCAGAACACCTGGCCAGTTTTACATTTGGAATTTCCTGGATATAAATTACTTCTCTCCTTCTGCTCCTACCCAATTTTGTCTGTATTTCTACACAGCAGTACTCCAGACAGGTTGATTCTCCAAGGATGCTGGAATTATTCCTGTTGCCATAGCAATTTTGTTCTCTAGCAGGACTACCCATAAATACCTGGCAAGAGATGAAAATATTTCTTTCCGTGGTCAGATGATGAGCTGCGTCCCTAGGGTGTTTTTTGTTTGTTTGTTTGTTTGCTTGCTTGCTTGCTTGCTTGTTTTGACATTGACTAGCTCAGGCATCTTCTGGATACACTTCTAAGCCATGAAACTTTGAGTCAAGGTCAGCATTTGGTGCTTCAAATGCCTTGGGTTTGTAGTCGGTGACTCTGTGCCCAGTACAAATAAATACTCCCATCTCTGCTGCTGGAGAACAAGACATCTCCCAGAGTCCTTACTGTGTTAGGTGACTCTAAGAGAACTGACTTTTGCTCTTAAATAACTGGAGTATGACTTACTTGGTATTTGTTGCTCATGTGACAATATGGGCAAGCCCTAGATGTGTAGAAATGTACACTTATTGGCTTGGCTTCTTGAGTTCTCTTGAGTGCATCTGTTTATATCAATCAGTCAATTTCTGTTAGGTAAAAAGAGACTCCACAAAAGGATTCATTCATGGAAGGTTTATAAGGGGGTAACATGGATCACACAGTATGTCATTTCCCCTAGGTTCATTTAAATAACTGTAGTTCCCAACATTCTTTTTCAAAAATATTTTAAAGATTTATCTATTTTATTTCATATGAGTATTTTGCTTGCATAGCTGTATGCCCATCGCAAGAGTGCCTAGTGTTTGCAGAGGCCAGAGAGGGGGTTGTATCCTCTGGAACTGGAGCTATTGATAGTTGTGGGCTGCCTATGGGTGCTGGGAACTGAACTGGGTCCTCTGCAAGAGCAACAAATGGCACTCAGCCCCTGATTAGTTCTCTAAACTTTTTTTTAAATGCTACATAAAAACATAAAATTGTATCAATTAATGGGGTATCATGTGATGTTTTCACATACATCCACACTGTAGAATACACTTAAATAACTCTAACATGCCCATCATCTCAATCATTTGCCATTTCCTTAAAGTAGAAACAACCACAATCCTTTTTCTAGTTTTGTAGACTGTGCAGTAAGTGTGTTACCATTATTAGTAACCATCCTACTGAGTGAGCAAAAGCACAACAGACAGCCTTTAAACTATTACTATTATTTTAAATTACGTGGATGTGGATGTTGATGTGAGTGCACGTGCCTTTAGAAGTTAAAGATCAGAGGTGCTGGATGCCCCTAAAAGTGGAGTTGCAGCTCCAAGCCACCCAGTGTGGGTGCTAGGAATCAAACTCTGGTCTTCTCCAAGAACAGCAGTGTTCTTAACCACCGAGTCATCCCCTAGCTCAAGAAATTCTTAATCCTGTCTTACTGACTTAGTACCTGTGATGACCAGTGTCAATTGTCAGCTTCAGAGGATCTGAAATCACTTGGGATATGAGCCTCTAGGCCACGGCTTCTCAACCTGTGAGTCTCAATCCTGTTGGCAAACCTCTGTCTCCAAAAATGTTTACATTACGATTCATAACAGTAGCAAAATTACAGTTATGAAGTAGTAACAAAAATAATCATATGGTTGGGGGTCAGCACGACACGAGAAACTGTATTAAAGGATTGAAACATCAGGAAGGTTGAGAACCACCACTCTAGGCATACCCTGAGGGATGATGTAATCCTTGGGCATGACTCTGAGGGGTTGATTACATTAATTGAGGTGGAAAGACCCATCCTAAAAGTAGTTGGCACCATTCCTGGTCTTGGGTCCCAGACTACATAAGAAGGGAGAAAGGGCGCCAAGCACCCATGCTGTCTGCTTCTTGGCTGTGGATGCAGCTGCTTTCAGCTCCCACAGCTGTGACTTCCCTATGTGATGGTTGTACCCCTGAACTGTAGCCAAAATAAATTACTTGGCCTTTAAACTACTTTTTATCAAGGTATTCTATCATAGCAACAGAAAAAGAAATGAAGACGGCGCCCACTGATCAACTTCTGTCTTTCCCTACCCACTGCTCTCCCCAGTCTTTGGTAGGTCCCAATCTATCCTCACTTCTGTGAGACGAACTCTTATTCTAAGACTTGTCTGGTGGGATTGTTTTAGTTTAAATGAGATGCTGTACAGGAAGCACCAGCCATTACACCATACTGCTCTCACTGCTCCCACTCTTACTGCCCGCTGCTGTCACTGCAGTCCCACACTGCCAACATCTCTGTCACTCTCACTTCCTCCAGCCATGGTGCTGCATTGATACTGCAACACCTGGGTGCTTAGTATATGTCAGGGACACTAAATTGTGAGGCTGGTTTATTCATTTATTCGACATCCCCTGGGAGAGAGAGATATACCACACCCTAGACATCAAACTTTGCAAGGACAGAGACCATGCCTCTCATTGACCAGTGTATCCTTAAAGCCTGCCGTGGTGCCTCATGCTGAATAAGTATCTGATGAGTGAATAAAGAAATGGATAACTGAATAAATCTGAAAACTTGCCAATATATACACATCTGGAGAAACATGCAATGTGTGAAAATTATCCTGAATTTGATAGAATTATAGTGTCCTGGATGCTGAATGTTTTAAAATGTTCAGTTATCCTCTCATGTCAGTTGTGCATATGCAGATAATAAAATAATTAGAGTCTACAGAGATTACATGATGGCCCAGACTCCAGTGCCAGGGGGAAGAAGCCACACGGAGACTCACAGCATTTGATCCTGAACCCTGACAGCTTATTGTACCCACACACTGGCCACGCTCTCCAAACGCCCATAGAGAAGAGGCTGAGGCCCAGGGAATTTCAGCTTCACAGGCAGGAGGAGATGGGCAGGTAGGTCTAGGGGGGAACAGAAGCCACCACAGGGCCCCACTGGATCTCCTTCCTTTTGGGCATGTATTACAATGAGTATTCAGCCTTTGTATCTACATATTAGGATTTGATAGTCAATTTTACTTT